CAACAGTGTGGCACAGAATGAGTGCGCCGTCACAGTGACCAGTGGATGCAACAGTGCGATATAGAATGAGTGTGCCGTCATAGTGAGAAGTGATTCGCAGTGTACAATGGTACAAGTGTATCAATTAAACAAGTGTGTTGAGGATTTGATGAATGATGCCAGATTAGTAAGATGGTAAAGTCATAATTTATAACTTGTGTAATATTCTCAACTGAGGTTTTGTCCCCAATTAGGAATGAAACTAGTGGTGGGTGGTCGAATAAAGGTTGTCACCTAATCTCAGACACCGAGACCTTTGTCACATGCAGCTGTGATCACATGACTAGCTTTGCGGTTCTGGTGCAAGTCGTAGACATTGAGGTACGCCGGTGTTGAGGACAAGCTGTCACTCCTCATTTGTTCCCTGAGTCAAACTCGCAGACTAAACATCAATACTCAAACTTGTGTCCTGCCTAAAACAAATGAAGGAACATCTTGGATGGAAACGTGGACCACATACTGTTCCCAATCAGCTCAGAATTTCCAAATGTTTGTCCATGTAGGTATGCTAGTATACACACAATACAGGTATACTCTTCGGAGAATGACCTCTTCCAGTGCAGGAACATAGGTCATTCATGCAAAACTGCACTTGCATGACCGGATTTCATAATGGAATAGCAATATGCTTTTGAAGTGGCCCGGTCATCCCCTTTGTTAGGAATGGATGATGGAAGCGAAAAGGAGTACAGAATATGTTGTACCTCTCAATGAACAGTTTGGACAGAAATATCTAATAACAGCAGTTCCTATTACCGCAAATCGGTCACTTGGGAGACATTCCCATAGGAATGTGCACAAACTTTACTGTCCCATAATTCAATATTCCCTAATCCGATCTTAACCAAACTTTGCATGTTTTCCTTTTAGACCCTAATCTATCATCTCTCAAAATTTCTACATTAAAATTTTCATCCTTCTGGTAGTTGGGTCACTTGGGAGACATTTGAAATGTCTCCCTAATGACTGATGTCTCCCTAATGTTGAAAAATTTACCACAAAATGTCTCCCAAGTGACCTATTTTGAAATGTTCCTCTTATTTTAGATTTCTGAAGAAGATAGTCATGCACTGAATGTGATCTCCCTTGTTGGATGTATTTTCTCCATCCTTGGTACATTTCTGACATGCTCAACTTACTTGTTTCTCAGGTATGTTGCGTAACATTGTGACACTTGATGAAAGTGGCACTTAATGAGCTTCTTCACTCCCTAGAAATTGGATCAAAAATACCTGAAATAGAAATGTCAAATTTTTTCTATTGTAATCATCAGCGAAAAAAAAAACAAACAAACAGATACACACACTAACACACACACATAAAACAAATTTTGATGGGGAGACCAAGGAAGAAAAAGTGGATCTTATGAAAATATGCGTCGTATGTGTCAAGAGTAGCAACTCAGCCACAGTATGTAACACTGATCATCTAGTCAAAGCCCACTCCTACGTTCTAAGCAGGCTCAGACCCTAACGTAGCAACAGCATTCCATGAAGAGAGCATGCGGTTGCCTTTACACAAACATTAACAGAAGAGGCAGATACTTGGAGAAGGAAATCCAAATTGAGCCTTGGTCTGATCAGAGCCTGATATTCGTGCAGCTCCAATTTAAAAGATGTCTTCCTTGTTATCTCCAGAATGACCTCAGAGCGAACCCTGATCCATTTCAACCTGGCCGTTGCCATCATGCTCTCCCAGGTCACATTCCTTTTTGAGGACTCAACAGAAAAAGGAACGGTCAGTTAGTTTTTTTTTCTGGTATTTCTTGTATGGTAATCCAATTTTGTAATCATCTTCAAACTGTTGGGACCAACGTAATTAAGTAATTAATTGCAACCAACGGCTGGTTTGATTCAAGAGCATTTTGGCAAATCTTCATTTTCAAGAGCAGATATAGCCTTTGGCTCCAATAAAAATGGTTGTATCAGAAAGATATGCCCCATTGTTCTTAACTGTCAGGCAGTTGTGTAACTGAGTGAAATTTCTCAGGAGGCACCTGGGGTTGCAGACAGTTTTTCAAGGGGGCACTGAAAGGAAAAAAGAATGGTAGCTTCTTCAAATGTGTGGACTGTGCACATTTCAAATGGGAGATGGGGGGGAATGGACCATTGCTGGGAGACATATGCCCTACCTCCCCTGGTGACCACCCCACCCACAATGAAGCTACTGAAGTCACATGCCTCCCTTTCCACGTTGCCTCAGGTTGGCTGTGCCGCTCTGGCCATGGTCCTGTACTTCTTCAACACTGCCATCTTCTGCTGGATGCTGATCGAGGGAGTGCAGATCTACTTCCAGGTCATCGTAGTCTTTGTCCATGCTGAGCGGCTCAAGATGTACATCCTGCTCGGATGGGGTGCGTACGATGACTCAGAATTAGGATAGATCAGGAAAAAAGCATCATCAGTGATTGCTGAACTAATAATACAGCTAACATGGGGGTTTGCATTGTGTTTGGAAAGTATGTATCTGAACCCACTGTTGGATAGCCTCCCCCTCAATGACGTATGTAAACACCCCCCCCCCACAACCACACAATGTTCATTCCACTGCTACTGTGATCTGCTTTTACTTACATGGGTCTTCTTCACTACCACCAATGCCCATCCACCCACACAAGTGTGCACTTGCCACAAATCAAGGATACCACATTGTTATCCTTTGTTCAGATTTCAACTTTCTCTGAAGGGCTCTCACAGGAGGGGACTCTCGCCCAATCAGAGACCTTTCCTAGCTTGTTCAGTGGTCATAACTAAATGCAGTAACATGCTCACTCAACATATCCATCCAACCTCACCCATCCACCAACCAACCAACCACCAACCATCAATTAACTACAACTAAACCACCTCACAACCACCAATGATCAATCGACCACTAACCCCAGAACACTCAACCCAAACTACTGACCCTGTTTAAACACTTTAGGCTTTCCTCTGATTTTGACCATCATCACCACGGCAGTACTGTGGGAGTCGCTGGGCATGCACGGCATGTAAGTAGACAGACATGCTGAAATTTCAATAGGGAATACATGCTCAGTCTGAAATATAAACATCAGATTGAAACGGTAATGAATCATGATGTTTAAGGCAAATATATGCACTGTGAATTCCCATCTGGTGAAAATGTGATCAATAGGCTGTATTCATGTGTTGGCCATCTTGAATTGACAATGAGGTTAAGATCTCATTTTTTTGAACCTGAAAGTAAGAATAGTGGCAATAAAATAAAGTTTCATTGCAGATTACTTATGTCAAGTTACGTTTGTAAAAATTCAAAATTTGTGATATCCAAATGTTTAAAGTAATAATTAAAAAAATGACGGTGAGGCTTGGAACCCAAAATAGTCTGACACCACCTCATATAACAGATTACATTTTAATATGATAGGTTCAGGGATTAAGATCAAAAATGGCTTCCCGTGGAGAAGGTCTCTTTTGACTTAAATGCCCTTGTGATTCCAATTTGACATTCATTTTTGCACATTAGATACTGGTCTTAATATGTGGCATGTAAGCTGCTTGGTTGATGGCAGTTATGCATTGAATACAAATCCATATTTGTTACTGGCATTTCTTGCACGTGTTCAGGTGACAAATAGGAGTGACTTATTTTCACATTGTGGTTTGGTTTATTTGTCTTCTTAAAGATGCTGGCTGAGCATTGCAGATAAATCCATCTGGTTTTTTGCTGTGCCAGTCATTATTGTCATGTTGGTGAGTATTCATACTTGCTTTTTACGAGTGTCAAAATATCTTAATTTCATTTGGCCTTTGATGCATGTAAACTGTTTCCTGAAACCATTCACGACTGTTGAAGAGTCCGTTCATCAGATGCAAAAGTGGACCCTATCAAGAGAGTTGTCTCTGACTTTGTACGGCTTCATTTTGAGCTCCACACCGAGTAAGACTGCCAGAACGTAAGCTGAAACATTTTTGGCATTGGATGTTGCTGTAGCAACATTGATCTGCATTGAGCCAAAGGTGTCAACTCAGCAGGCTAAATTCAGGAAAGTTAAGCTTGAGGCCATAGCAAACTGACATTTGGAAAAAAGAAAATCTGGCATGCAACATTAAATGTGACCCATCAATCCAAACATCAGGCTGATCAGAAGTAGATAGTTTTGATGTTTGACAGTTCCTTTTCTCCTACTGTTAATTTTCATACTTCAAAGCAATCCAAAGCAAATCTTTTGCCTGCAAAGGGTTTAATTGGTAATTACAGACAATGAGGTTCATTGTTCTTGATTACACTGGTATTGTTTTCTCGACAAAGGGGTATAATCATTCAACCTTGTTTTTGAAAAGGTTGATCACAAAGTAATGCAACAGCACATGAGTGCAAACGTGGCTCACAGTGGAGGTGATTGGTCACGTCTCTTATTTTTCAATGGACTTGAAGTCTTTTTCTTGGTGCAGACCCAAGACTAAAACTGAAGATTTCCTTCTCTACTTTGGCTCTCAGATTAATTACTACATTCTGGTGAAGGTCACCAAGGTGATTGTTACTCTGACAAAGGCCCAAGGAGGTAGCAAGTTCAATCATGCAAAGTAAGTGGCTCGTTTCTTTTTGGGGGGGGGGAATGATTGGAATCCAAGACCAGCAAAAGGGCAAATAGGATGATTGGTAGCTATTTGGGACTTTGGAAAATAAGTAGTAAAGTGGTTCCATTCAAAATAGCTGGGGGTGGAAAGATGGACACAACTTTTTAAAAGCAGCCATTTTAGAGAGAGTCAACCTCGTTCTAGTTTACCTGTTAATTCAATAACCTTTGATATTTTATCTAAGTTTCTATAGAAATCCTATGTTGTTTGACTGCTATTCATTTTCTGTTCTATCTTTCTCTTTGATTAATTTAATATGTTTTAAATTGTTTGAAATTCATTTCCATTGATTTTTGTTTTAAATTTGATCAGGGCCCTTAATGATAACAGTTTTGTACTGACAAGGCTACCCTGATGAAATAAAACACAATTCCAGACTCAACTCAAGAATTAGTATATGATGCTGTAATAACAGACACAAGCAAAGTGAAATCAAGTCAGATCCAACGGTCACGCAGGTGCTAAATTGTGTGCAAAATTAGTCTCACCTTGAATTAAATTGTAGTCCGTACACAAACCATCAGAGTTGTAGTTGAGACCTCTCAAGACCATCACAAGACCTCCGGTCGGAATTCACGTCACATGCAATTCAAACGAACTGCAACAAAGCATTCCATAGTCTGTTCGTCCTGTCATGTACAACCGGTCTTGTAATGGTCTCAACAACTTTACTGAAATTCATGTAGGGGAATTTTTTCCCTAAAGAAGCACTGTACCTTTGGACATAATTCATGAAATGGTCACTTTCATGAAACTCCAGGAAATCCACCAAGGCATCCATCATGCTCTTGCCTCTTCTGGGGTGTACATGGGTATTTGGCTTTCTGTGCATCTCGGAGAGCACCATCGTGTTCCACTACCTCTTCGCCATCTGCAATTCCTTCCAGGGATTCTGTCTCTTTTTGGCTTACTGTGCCTTGAGCTCAGAGGTAAGTACACTGACACGGTCAAGTCGCTTCATTGCAGATAGATATATATATATATACACATGTATATCCCCCATGATAAAACATAACTCAAAGGTACCTATGTATGAAGCATTACCATTGGTGGAAATACAAAATGGATTACATCCTGGAGAAATATGTTAATTTGAATCAGTGTTGTGGGCATTCAAATGTCGTGTACGACATTTAGAGATATATGATGTATTACAGCCTGTAAGTGTGAATTCATGGCCATAATTTTCTCATTTATTTGGGGGGGATGTTTCTCGTGAGAAAAACCAAATAATTTTCCAATTCTGGAATATTTTGACCAGTAGATGGGCCCGGAGAATGCTTGACATATTCTGCCCTGTTCAATGCTGGAATTACACAAATGTTTCTGGCATGTCACGTCCTAAAATGTCAGTTCTTAGACAAATTTTGTCTTCTCCCCACTGCAACAGGAGAGTTGAGATTTTTTGCTCTGCACATATCACAGACATTTCTTCACAACTGCTTCCCATTCTTTGGGGAGTATGATTTTGACTGTTCTGAATTGGAACTTACCCTTTGGAATGTCCCCTCACAACAGGTGCACGAATCATGGCGTACAAAGCGGGAGAGCTGGAGTCTGACTCGCTCCCTCAATGCCCATCGCTCCAGCAAGGTATCGCCGGCAAGTAGAGAACAAGCCTGGGATGAGAATGCACACCAAACAGAGAGAACCTGCATGGACAAAGACCGGAAATGATGTTTGAACAGAGTTTCCCCCCCCCAAAAAAAAGCACAATAAACCTGAAACATCATGACGTCATGCTTTGTTTACATGTGCGCTTTCCTACAGGGAATGGATGGATTGCGTCCCACCTGACTACCAGAGGAAAAGCACACATGAAAGCAAAGTGTGACATCATTGTTATAGGTCTTTAGGGGAGACAGTCTGAAGGGGATAAAATCATCCTGCCCAAAGAGGATAAATTGAACTGGCACATCATTTGCTGTACTTATAACTTCTCACAGAAGATCCTGCAAGTTGGTTATTTGATTCCCCAAGCAAGGCTGCTGATGGGTATTTCTCTGGCTCACAACTCCAAATGCCGATGTCAAAGGGTGTACTAATAGAGGGTATGCATTGCTGGTGCCATGGAAACTATTCTTTCTCATTTTAGTTAGTTACCATGAATGCACAAAAGGTTCACTTGAGCCTTTCCTAGTGAAACAAAGCAGGTTTCTCTCCAACTCTGCCTTCATGCATAACCTCTGTGATCTGTCTCTCCAGCATTTATTGGATCAAGTGCCTCAAGATGCACATGTAGTTTGTAGCTTTCGGTGAATCTTCCATTTGTAAAATCAACAAAACTTTTGCTGTACACAGAGTGCTTCTTTTCTACCAACCCCTCCTTCGGCACAACGAAGAAAAACGTGATTTATTACTATCACTTGAGTGTTAGTGAAACTAACCAGCTGACCCCCTCCAACATATGGTTCACACTCGTAAAAATGACAAAAAATGGATGAACCCTGGTCAGAATATAAATTTTACCATGTCAGCCCCAGAAGTACTACATGTATAAGCATTGGTAATGACAACTTTTATTTTGTTCTGGGGGTTATTTAGTCAGATTAAAATGTGAATATTTCAGAGCTAAACTGTAAGTGAAGTTTCATTGGGGTGGGGTTAATCTACATATGAAATAATTACATTGCAAAGCCGAGATTTTCTTGGTTGAAACAAACCTTTTATCACCCATTTTTTGGTTGGTTTATTTGTCCAATATATAAGTCCAGCACTGTAAACTGTCACACTTGAGCATAACAATAATTATGGTTTACAAGGTTTCTGTCATTTTTATTTCTCAGGAATGGTACAAGAACAGTTATGATAGTTATTTATAGGTTAACATATCAACAGTGATTATATATTTATGATACACAAATGCACAACATACAGCACTCAAAGAACCCATTCAATAATAGAAACCAGCAGACGGGAGTCTTGGTTGGGCATCGCGAGTTATAATTTAAACTAGCACCCTGAACACTGTCGTATATTTAGTTTTTCCAATTCTATGTCTGTTTTTAGCAGTTCTTTTGCATTTGATACTGCACACAACTTGTATATGACAGAGATGACGAAGCACTTATAACTCAAGGTCACACAGGGATTGTGAGACCCTGGTCACCTTTGCGGAGAGTCTTCAGGCATTAGAGGTGGTACCGAGGATCTTAACTGGTCGCAGTGTCTAGCGTCATTGCTTACATG